GACTTCTCAAATTCCTTCTCCAATTTATCCAAAAGTACATTTGCAAAAAGAGGCCAGAATGGATCTTCCATAGATAGTCCAAATAATTGCCCATATATATTGCCGTTGAATGTTAGCATACAGTCATTATTACCAGGCCCATCAGTCGTGTTAACGAATCCTTCTGTATGCAATACGACCAATTTGCGAAACAAGTCAAACAACTATAAAACGAAAGGAAACTGTAACGATAGTAAAGGTCATACCTTGATCTTAATATCTTCAAATTTTCGTAGTTTATCAGGAATACTTAGTTAAATTGTCAAGTATTAGAATTTTCTAAATGCCTGTTACTCCCAATCAAGGGGCATATCCTTATAAAGCCGCAATTTACTGACTAATATACACACATAAGTTTAATATTTGCATTATTTGAAGATAATGGGCACCTGGAAACCACCTAATTCAATGAATACAGTGGCTTAAAAATTTACTAAATAATTCTAAGTCAAGTTAAAAAATATTAATAACCGCATAAGCAATTTTAGCTTGAGACTCGAAATCAAGTGATTTTGAAAGTTTACATGACAACCTAGATTTCTTACCATAAATTTCATATTACCAGTTCCTGAAGCCTCGGTGCCAGATAATGAAATCTGTTCTGAAAGATCAGAGGCGGGGAAAATTTTCTCAGCCTGGCTGACTCGGTAATTTATCAGGAATATTAGCTGCGCGTAATAAAATCAATTTAAGATAGGGAGATAAATAGGGAAGGAGGATGGAGTATAATGTTTGCCATGATAAAGGACGGAACTTTTTTTCTCCATACAGTACTAAAAAGAGGTCCCTCTTCTGTACTAAAAATCTTTTCAAGAAAATCTCAATTAGTCGTAGAAGGAAAATATAAGAAATTCTAACCAGTTCAATTAGAAGAATATAAAATACTTTCATTATTGCATCAATTTTTAATTTTATGTACACCAATTATCGTAGAGGCTTTAGGACGAAGGGGTAAAAATGAAGGCCCCTCTTATAAAACTAAGCGGTGAATCCTTCTGAGACTAGACCTATGGGCAAGTACAAAATACTAGTAAGGGATCTGATAGACTGAAATGCTATGGCTTCGGCGAGTATTCAAAATTTAAAACACTTTATATGGAGTTAAAATCCTACTATACAAGGCAAATGGAGCATTTGACTTAATTACTTTGCGTATTTTGACAATAATAAATCTACTTTTCCATTCTCTATAAATGCTATCATTTCAGATCCAAGTGTTCACATCCAATTTCATTGTAAATGGCGCATTGAAAAGCTTTAGTGTGCTTGAGGTCTTTTTCGCATTCAGGCTTTTGCGAATTTGATTTTCATTATTAGTTATTTTAACTATGTAGGAGCGCATAAGTATGTTCGAAACCCAGCTTCTCTTCATAGCGCATAAGTATGTTTTAAGACTAAATCTTATCCTATCATATAGTGATTTTACCACTTAAAATTCACTTTTGAAATCTCATTGTCCTATATAATTTGTTTCAGCCAAGATTTCCAATCCTAGCAAGCAATATTACTACTTTAATTTTTTTTAAGTTACTATTTTCCGATTACTTTGCAATATACTTAGGCATTGCCACAATGTAGACATGGCAGAATTTACAGTAAGTAAAAAACAAGTAATTTTACTCTATTTTTTAGATTAAGCAAAGTATTTTATGATTAAATTTAGGATATTTTGGTGTCCAGGTTTGTTAATAAATATAAGGACAGTTAACTATCGAGAAATATTATTTTAATTCGATTACTTTTGTATTTTTTGCTTTAGTTGCCATTCTAAAAAAATGTCATCTACTCAATATGTAACTCTGTCAGAATCCAAAGCGTAACTTGAGCCTGAGTGACTTACGGGAAAACACAAAGGTTTATTGCAGCAATTTAGAGAGAGAGAGAAGAAAGTATATATTTTTCATAGGGAGAACAGAGGCATTAATTGTTGTGCTACAAGAACAGCTATTGTATTACTTAAAAGATTCACATAAAGACTTGTGCTAGCTGTTATAGTTATACGACGAAATTAGTGTCATTTCACTCTATCACTAAATCAGATTGCTTTTTTCGTGTCCGTCCAAACGCACCAAACGCGGTTGATTGGTGGTCTGGTGACAGCTAAGCAGAGGTAATAAAAGTGCCTCTTAAATTAAGTGTTACTCAAATCGAGCCATGTAGTTATTTGCTGAAGTTGGGCCAAATAAAATTCCACAGATAAATCTCCTGTTTGATTTGGTTCTATCTTGTTTTCACAACTTGGTCGGACCGTCAGGGAGACCTTGTGGAACGCATCCAGTCTTGCGTCCGTAGTCATAGTATACGTGATTTACAGCATCGGACTATTGATTTTGTGGAGGCGAGTGATGCCATAACAGTTGGACAGAAGAGTGATCAAGGATATTGCCTTCATATGCCATTTATATGATGTAACTCTGTCTTTACGATGGCACCTCTCACTGACGATGCCGACAACGATGCCGGCGAAACGCTTAGGAATTGTCAATGGTTCGCTTCTAGAAATCACGTATATTATGGCAAATGGCACAGGACTTAGTACATTTCACAAGGTCTCCCTGATGATCCGACCAAATTGCGAAAACAAGGTCGAACCCATAAGGAGACCTCGACTAAAATGAGGGCGACACCAGCTTGGTCTTCATATTTATTCTCCTGTTTGTTTGTCCCCAATTTTAGCAAATAACCCCATGGCTAACTTTGAGGAGCGACTAATTCATGAAGCCTTTTTAATCCCTAAAATATTGGATCGACATATGGAAGGTTAATTTGCCGTTTGGCAACGCTGCAAAGAATGCCTAGAAAATTTTTTAAAGTTAGTTAATTGAATAGATGATAATTGAGAAAAGAGAGTGGTTTCCATTTTCTATATGTTCTAGTTAGCGAAGATGGAGGCAAATTGAGTAGATATGAACATGGGAAGTCCATAAATGCAAATTATTTTTTACTATCTTTTTACTCCATACATATTGCGATAGAGGTGTTATGACATAATTACTAATGAGTATGCGTCTTGCAAATATTAATCATCGGAACAAGGAATTGTGGTGATTAAGGAAAATGTTAGTTAAGAACAATTAAGCAATGTAATTATATAAAATATTAGAAAGTAGAATGGAGTAAAGGATCTATTTGGGACAAGATAGATGACTGAACCACTTTACTAGTCTTGCTGATACCAACTTGTCAGCCTTAGAAAAATATAGACGAAATACTAAGGAAGTGGGACAACATAACAATTTATAAAGGGGAAATAACACTTTCCTCATTCATTTCATCTTTTCAGGAAATTTTTGATCCTCGCCTTAGATCGGGCAGTTTTGTGTTCATGTGATAGCTTTTATGCGGGGGATACCTGCCGACCTAGAAATAAGTGGTTATCCTAACATAACTCAGCCTGCAAAGGTTTGTGGGTACAAAAATCGGAATTTGCCACATGGCACAACAGACTGGTCTAAAGCCCATAACGTAGCTGAATAATTAGATTATGCTAGTAAGCGGCAGATTAGGGACTCTATAGAAATAAACTATGGGAGTAGAGAGAGAGAACAAGAAGTTCTGCCAAACCAGAGGAAGAGGTTTGCTTAGCCTCGAATCTTGTTTTAACTCCCATACCTTAAGCGACTCACGACCTTTGCATACCCCAACACACGTTCAAATGAACGCTATGAAATTCTTCAGTATTGCAGAATCAGATATACTAGTGATTTCAAGAAAGATGCAGCTAATTGGTCACAGGTGCATCAATTTCACGCATTATTCGCAGCCACTTCATTTTTCAACATGCCTGACCTGCATGCCGAGAACTTTGTCGAACAAAACTACGGTAACTTCTCAGACTATACTACTTTGGCTCTCTGCAAGGCTAACTTACGAGTACCTTCCACTTGCCTCTTTTACCGAAGTAAAAGGCATGCCAAGGTAAGGAATGTCTTCAGTAATCATCGAAACCTTTAATTGACCTATAGAGATAGCATTTGAACTAGATCACATTCTGTCTTCTCTCTTTATGTGTGATCAACATATACCTGTAGCTTTTTGTTCACTTCAGGATCCTCATTGATTACACTGGCCACGTTGTTAATAAGCTTAATCACGCGTTTAGCCATATGATAGCCCGGAGCCGCCTTGCCACCAATCATCACTGTGCGTGGACAGACAGGGCCTCCTTTGCCTTCCTTAATTCTGTTGTACAAAGTGATGACATGCAAAACATTGAGTAGCTGGCGCTTGTATTCGTGGATCCGCTTAATCTAGTATAAAAAATATACATTTTCCTGTTGTGAGAAGCCATAGAGTTGAATAAAAGCACACAAAATGACTGATTGGATAGGAAGGTTGATGATCATAATTTATGCTTAAAATACTAATGTTTGTGCCCAAAACGCCGTCTTACTAGGCAAGTGCAAATAACAATCCACCAAGCGAATAAAATGAAGGTGGAAATAAGCAAGACAAATAACTGGGCTCAAAGTATGAATA